CTTTATCTTGGAAAAGAAGCAGTTTTATATATATGCCAGAATTATAAAAGAAATCTTGATAGTTACAGATATTTCATTTTTTTCGGAAAAAATGCTGGAATGAAATGTTTTACGTACCAGGTTTTTCTCTTTTCCGTCTTGCTATATAAGGGCTTTCAACCATGGTTTTATTGAAGGCTTTCTTTACAAGTTTGAATATGCACAAGCCTATGCTTTTCTGTGCCATATATATTTTGCTTCTCTTTAAACTAGAACGTTATCATTGAGTTAAAGAGTAAATATTCTACCGCGTTTTTATATAAAAGAACCTATTCAAGTATTGTAAAATAAGTTGTAAATCGTAGATACAATATTCCGATAAATGTTAAATGTAAGAATTGTCAACTTTTTCTCTTTCCACATACCCTCCAACTTATGAGGATTTTGAAAATAATTCTTTCTAGTGGTAGCGAACCAAAGTAGAAATTTTTAAAGCAAATGGATCTCTCATAAACTTTTATCAGAACTTAAGAATCTAGCCATATGGCCTGCACTTTTATAAGTAATAGTGAACAAGTTACGCTAAAATTAATTTTTTTTAAATATAAAGACATTAATTTTGCTACTGTCTGAAAAGAAGATTTCTGAAACTACGGAAATTCCGTAGCAGTTGGAGGGTATGCGATTGGGTGACCTATAATATGCTAATTAATAAGTGCAGGCGAAATTTTAAGTTGCGAAATAAGACACAAAAACTAACTTTATCTGAAAAAACAAATTTTTTTTTTTTTAACATATTCGGATTTTTAATTTCCATTGTAAGCGGCAATTGGGAAATATGGCTTCATAATTCGGTCAGGAGAGCGATCCAAAGTTTGGACCCCTTAGCGTTAATTTTACTTTTTGCGTATTTCACCATATTTTGAGAACTTCTTAAGGGAATAGAGAAAGTTTTGCATATAATTATAAAATTAATTTTTCCAAAGATCAGTGCAAAAAATAAATTTCCGTAAACATTTATTATTTTACTTCATGATAGTCGAAAAATTTTGAATTGTAAGGGAAACATTTTTTTGCATCATTTTAGAGTACGTGAATGTACATGGCAAAGTATAATATTTGGGCGAAATTGATCAAATTATTATTGAGAAACCGAATTTTAAGTATACGACTTTCTTAAAAATTCGATTTCTTAGAGGCTTTCTAGAACCGATTTTGCACAATTTTTTTTATTTTGCCTCGTAAAATTAGGTATTTTATAACGATGTTAAAAACTGTTTACCTTGCAGTTTACGATTTTTCAGACATTTATTAATAAAATAATAAAAATGATTAATTATTTAATGAAATTTATTTGCGAGGATAATCAAATTTTATAATAAATTTTGGATAAGCAACTTTTATAATTGTCTGCAATTTTTTTAAAAATTCACTTGCAAAGATTTCAGGAAGTGGCGAATTACACAAAAAAGTAAAATAAACATTAAGGGGTCAGAGCTTTGGATCGCTCTCCTGACGAAATTATGCGGAACATATTTCCCAGATTACGGCTACCCCTTATATTTAGGGGGTCAGAAATCTGAACCCGTTGAAAAAAAGTATGTTTATTCTGAGAAAGTTCGTTTTTGCGTCTGATTTCGCAATTTGCGCTCTAATTAGTTAGCATATTTAAGGTTACCCCTTCGAACCATATAGAATTGAGTATTAGAACGCAATGATCTGATCATTAGATTAAAAGTTATTCAAAGTGGTCCATTTTATTTTTTCATCTCTAAGCTATCATAAATTTTCATTTTTGAACGTATTTTACTGTCTAAAATAACCTACACGCAAAAGTTCGCAGCTATTTAAATAAATAAAGTGAAACTGAAAATATTTATGTCAGCTTAATC